TATTTTACTTACTTCATTTATTTATTTTTATTTGACCAGAGAGGGACAGAGTGAGAGAGAAGGAAAGTGAGAAAGCAAATCACCAGGTCTGGGACACAAAATGCAGTTGGCCATGTGGAAGTCCAGTGCCTTAACCACCATGCTGCGTGCCAGTCCCCAATCATATTCTCTTGTATTCTTTCCTTTGTGTTTTTCTTTTTTTTCTTTTCTTTTTTTAAAAAATTTATTCAGAGGTTTTTGCTATAAGGCACGTGCGCTCGCCAGAAAGGCAGAGAGTGACAGAGTGTCAGAAAGTGAGAAATAGCCCCCCAGGGGGGATGGCCATGCCTCAATCCCTTCTCCTCCATTCTCCTCTCTGGGTCTTGGGCACGCACGCACGCACACACGCCTGGCTTGAGTTTAAGCCACTGGGTCCAGGACTCGAACTGTGTTTGACTACGTGGGAGTCCAGCAACATAGCCATTACGTCAACTGCTGGTCCCGTCTTTGTTGTTGTTGTTCTTTTTTTTTTTTTTTTTCAAAGAGCATATGTGCTTACTGGAGAGAGAGAGAAAGAGACTGAGAGAAGGAAAGTTAGAAATCATCTCCCAAGGGCCACATCCCTTCCTGTCCATTATCCTCTCAGGATTTGAGGCCCATACACACACATGTGCTTGGTATGATTTTCAAGCCACTGGGTTCGGAAGTTGAACCATGGCCAGCCATGTGGGAATCTAACACCTTAACCACCATGCCACCTGCTGGCCCCTCTTGTATTCTGAGACAAGTTACTTATGTCCATGGAAATAGTGGAATAGTGTGTGCCAAATTCCAAAGCAATCTTCTTGATAAAGCTATTGGGCACAGGATCTGTGGGATGCTGTACCCCTCAAGGATTTAAACTAATGAAAAGTAAATAAATAAAAGTGGAGAAAAAATAAAAAGTTATTATTTAAATCTTTCCTTTACCAAAAAAATTCCTGTTTGGGAGAATACAAGGGGATTTTGCAGGTTTGTGCAAGAATTGAATTCAAGTACGAGTTTATTTTGGTACAAACTAATGTAAATCTATGGATAACTTTCTCATAATAGGCATTTTCTATGAACTTTTTGAAAACTTAGTATTTAAAAAATAGAACTAAGTGCCATCTAGTGACCAGAGCCAGAATTGCAGGTTGCACACAGCTACAAAGAACAGGAAGGCTAGAAAATTATGGGGGAAGGTCAGGTGGAGACTAGATAATGCCGAGCAGGGAGGGAGAATACCTCAAGCATGACTCTCACAGGAGTCACAGAGCATCAGACCCTTCCAGGGAATTGAGGTGGCCTAAGAAGCAACATATAGTTAGGCTGTTTGTCCTCGTCTGAAGCCAAGATAAGTGTGTGCAAGCATGTGTGGATGTTTCAACTTAATGGTCTAATGCTGTTTTCTCTTTTTTCTCTGATTGTGATGTTGTATGTTTCTACTAGAATATCTGGAATGCCAAAAAGTATAAGAAGAAGATATAAATCTACCCAGAGAAAATGATGGCTAATATTGAAGGGCATGTACTTACATTGTGTGTATAGCTACTTTTATGTATTCTATCAATTTACTTTGTTATAGAGTACATATGTAAATTAGTTTACATATTTTTCTATTATACACTCAAATGCATTTGTGTTCATTTATATATTTATAGAGCTTGTATTTTATTTATTCCTTATTAATTTTTATTGGTTTAATTTATTTATTCATTTATTT